AAGAACAAAAGGCTCTCTTTGAGGCACCTCATCCTAAATGAGATTGTGAATGTCTAGAACAAGTGTGTAGTGACTGAGAGATGGATAAGCCATAGTTATCTCCATAGAAACCAAACAACTTCTGGCCCCAGAGAAACAATGGCACCTAGCGATAAGAGGCAGTGCACTGAGAGCATGTGTGTTGTGACTCATAGCGACCCCATGCACAGCTGAACAAAACATCGCCCAGTCCCGCGCCAGCTCCACAATCCTTGCTATACTTGAGCCCATCGCTGCAGCCACTGTTTCAATCCATCTCATTGAAAGCCTTCCCCTCTTTTGTCGACCCTCCACCTTCCCAAGCATGATATCTTTCTCCAGGGACTGGTCCAAGTAGGTGAGACCAAGTCTGGCCATTCTCGCTTCCAAGAAGCATTCTGGTTGCACTTCCTCCAGGACAGATTTGTTAGTTCTTTTAGCAGTCCCTGGTACCTTCAGCATTCTTCGCCAGCACCACGACTCAAAAGCATCAACTCTTCTTCGGTCTTCCTTATTCATTGTTCAGCTCTCACATACATATAAGGCGATTAAAAATACCATTCCTTGTATCAGGCACACCTTAGTCTTCAAGGAGATACCTTTGCTCTTCAGCACTTGAAAGAGGTCTTTTGCAGCTGACTTGCCCAGTGCTATACGTTGTCTGACGGGACGGGAGCTCTGGTAGCATAGTGGCTAAGGCACTTGGCTGCTAACCAGAAGGCTGGCGGTTCAAACCCACCAGCCACTCCTCGGAAGGAAGATGGGGCAATCTACTTCCACAGTGATACTGCCTTGGAAACCCAAGGAGGAGTCGCTATGAGTCGGGTCCGACTCAATGGCACATAACGACAACAACAATAACAACATACAATTTCTGATGTCCTGACTGCTGCTTTCATTGGCATCAATTGTAGAACCAAGCAATGTGAAGTCTTCGACAACTTCAATCTTTTCTCCATTTATCATGATGCTGCGTATAGATCCAGTTGTGAGGACTTTTGTTTTCTGTATATTGAGATGTAATCCATACTACAGACTGTATTCTTCAATCTTCATCAGTAAGTGCTTCAATTCATCCTCACTTTCAGCAAACAAAGTTGTGTCATCAGCGTATCACAGGTTGTTGAGTGTATGTGTAGTGTGGTTAAAACATTGACTATTGCAGGACACACTCCCACACCCTACCCCTACCCTACCCATGGGCACTGTCCATTGTACTGAAAGGTTGTAGTTTGCAGGGGTGGGGAGAGATGGATCCTCTGTTCACACAGAGTCAGGGATGTAGGGGAGAGAGTTCAAAGTAGGAGTTTCCTTTTCTCAGCTGTTCCCAAAGCCTGGGGAAAGCTTGTCTGGGTCCTGAATGAAAACACCAGGATCCAGATAAAGAATAGAAGCTCTCTTAGAATCAAAGGATGGGGACAGTGATAGCTTGGTCGTAGAGTTCTTGCTTTTCATGCAGGAGACCCAGGGTCAATTCCCAGCCAATGCACCTCAAGAACAGCCATAACCCATCCGTCAGTGGAGGCTTGTGTGTTGCTATGATGCTGAACAGATTGCAGCAGAACTCCAGACCAAGATAGACTAAGAAGAAAGGCCTGGATGTAGCCTTCCAAAAATCAGCCAATGAAAACCCTAAAGATCACAATGGTTCGACCCACAACCAATCACAGGGATAGCACAGGACAAGTAGTGTTTCATTTTGTTTGCATGGGATTGCCATGAATCCGCCTCAATAGCAGCTAATAACAATTATCAAAGACGGGCCTTGGGGTCTGGCAAGCTGGATTCAGGAGCTCTGATGGTGAGGGAGTCCCTGGGCTGGGCCCGGCCCAAAGCTGGAGGTCCTGCCCAGAGCAGCAACAGCTGTAAAAGCAATGCCTTCTAGGGCTTGGCCCAAGTCCTTCCCAGGCTGTTCTACCTGCAAAACATCCACACATCACAGAGCCATTTTGCCAGCACCTCTGGCCCACAGAGCAGTAGGGGATGCTCAGTTCAGCCCTAGGGCCCTACCTTCCCAGATCCCAAGAGCCAGTTACTGGCAACGGCCATTGCGATAAGGCAGCAGCCACGCACAAGTCTGCTCCTGCCTGAGTCCAGCATCTGACCCCAGAGTGACTTCCCTCCCTCCCCGACCTGGGCCTGACTCATGCTTCCAGAATGGGAGCTGGAGGCTTCCTGCTGCCCAGTCAGAGTCTATTCATGCTACTCCAGGAGGTGCTGTGGAAGAGCTCCGGGCAGCTGTCAGCTCTGAGAGGAGGAGGCACCCACCATGCTTTCCTGAGCACCTACCATGTGCCAAGAACTAATCACCAGGCACGTCCTCACGTTCCACTGCTTTGATCACCCTGTGGGGTTTTTCCCATTCTTTGCTGGAAAGGAGAAGACTGAGGTTCAGAGGCAATCAGGCAGAGGTGGAATTCAAACTTCAGTTCCCCAGCATTAAGCACAGCTGTGGTGGTTATGTTTGTGTGTCAACTTGGCTGGGCCTGGTTGAGTGATGATGAGAGTGGCAATCAGCTCCATGGTGGGATCTGCCACAAGCAGCTGAGTAGCTGCCTTTGGGAATGTGGTCTGCTTCCTGTATATAAGGAGAAGCCTTGGTAATGTATATAAGGAGAAGCCTTGGTAATGGTCTCTAGCCTATGGCATGCTTGGACCCTGCATGTAGCCATGTCGTTGTCAGCAGCCTGCTATGCTCTACCGACCTTAGGACTTACAATGGGGGCTGCCATGTGGTTTGGTGACATCGGGACTGTGCCTTTTTACTTTTCAACCATGGGGCTTCTCAGCCTCAGCAGCCAGCAGCTGTCTGAATGAACAAATGCCTCTAGCTCCAGTGGGCCAGGAGCAGGAGGCAGAGCTAGACCCCAAGGCTGAGGGGCTTTCACCTATCCCCTAGAGCCTGGCACTTGGAACTTGGACTTAAAGCCTCCAAATTGTAAGCAAAAACTTGTTTGTTAAGGCCATTCCATTTGTGGTATATTCCTATCAGAGCGCCACTAGGTAACCAGAACAACAGCCGTCCACTTACCCTCAATACACTCCCTGGCAGCAGCTGACATCACCCTAGAACCCATCCTTCAATCATTCATCCCACAAACATTTATTGAGGGCTTCCTCCTTTGGGCTTCATGACAGCTCAGTCCCCCAGAAGGTAGGCTGAGTGAAGCCCACTCAGCCCTCTTGGAGGAGCCATACTTGGCTGGGAAAAGAAGGATCTGAACCCTAGGTCTCTCTCCAACAGTCTCAGCCCAGGGTAGGCTTGGCATGGCTGCCTGGGTGATTGGGGAGGGGTCTTGGGTTTAGACTGGGCCAGCAGCCTGGCAGGATGCTTCAGGGGAGTCAACATCCCCTTTCTCCTGGATCTCAGCTCTGAGGTGGGTAGGTGGGTGGGTGAGTGGTGTGCAGCACTGCCTCCTCTTATTTCAATGGTTTCAGGGGCCTGGCTGATGTCAGGTCTGAGCAATGCATGGAACTCACTGTGTGTGGGGCCTGATTGAGGGCTAAACTCTTTCTTCAAAAGCTTCTAAATGACTAAGTACTTCCCCTTTTAGCCCAGCCCCACCCCTGGCCTAGGAGGACACATCTCCACACGTACACACAGACAGCTTCCCTAGGACTCTCCTCACTGCTCACATGTGTATTTATGGTGTCACAGACCCAAATGGTCACCATCCTAGGAGCTTCATACCCCTCACATGTGCAATGAAAACATGTGTACTCACCAACCTAACTCATGCGGGCAACCAGTCACCCTGAGACACACAGGTGCCCACCTGTGAGCATCCCCATGCAAGCACTCACACCCCCTCACTCTTCACACACATACACACACATACACATGTGTGTGCATGCTATTCCTATGATCACCGTGTGCTCAGGCACAGGTGAGCACACACTTGGCAGGGCCCTCAACTGCCTCCAAGAACCCACAGAACCAATGTGCCTTTCCACTAGCACACGTGTTATCAAGTATACATGGTCACGGGCATCTAAGGGCTTGTACACAGACAAAAATCTGCAAGTGTCCACTTTTCATTCACACACACCTGTGCACTCAATACTCACACGAACACAGAGACACAATGCAGAATGCACACACTCACACCAAACTTCCACACCAGACACACATGACCATACACGAATGACATACTATGTCCATGTGCCCACACACCTATGCACCAGAACTTTTCAGAACAGTGGGTTGAGAATATGAGTAAGAATAAAGGATTGCACTGGCAGGAAGCTGCAATTCCCAGCTTCACCTCAGGGAGCCACTGCTTGCTCCACAGCCCCAGCCCTGGGCTCAGAGGGCAGGAGCCAGCCTGAGGCACAGGCCTCCCACCAGCCTGGGGCAGCAGGTGGCACCACGGGGCCATAGGCTGGGGCCCAGTCAGCCTAAGGAGGAAGGAGAGTGACATCAGCCAAACTGGACGCCCTGCAGGGTATGGAATGGCCTCCCAAGAGGAAAGAATGGGCAGCTTGAATGCTGGGAAGAAAACAGGAGTCTAGAAGGAGGTAGGAAAGACGAGAGGGTACTGTGGGAGGTGGGGGACAGAGGGCAGGATTGAGGGGAAGAAGAAGAGAGAAATGGAGGGTTATGGGAAGGTCAATTCCAAAGAAGGAAGGGGAACCTAAAGAGAGGAGAAAGAAAGGGAGAGGAATGAGAGAGATGAGAAGGAAGAAGTGAAGGAGGAAGAGGACAAGAAGAGCAGGGCCAGACAGGTACTGAGCAGTGACGGACAGTGTGGAGAGGGAGTGAGGGAAGGAGGGAGACAATGTGAAGGGCCATGCCCCTTGGGTGTGGGCACACATCACACCTCCAGCCATCTCCAGCCTCCCTCACCCATTTCCCAGTGACAAAGACTGGGGACAGACAGGGACAAGGCTCCCCCTCTCAGCTCCAGATCCAAGATCTAAGTAAGGGTGCCTGGATTTTGAGGCCAGGGCTCAGTATCAACCTGCCAGTAGGAAAAGCAGCAATGCACAGAGATGGTGCAGATGAGCTGGCAGGAGCCCTTCGTCCAGGAGCAGGGACCTACCCAGGTCCTCAGTATCAGGTAGGTACTCTCTGGGAACAGCAGCCCCCCAAGATGAACTCTGCCTCAGCACTTTGACCAGCCCTGACCTGCCACTGCCTGACTCCCACACAGGGACAACTTCCAACAAGACCCAGGTGGCAGAGGTGCCTCAGGAGAGTGGATGGGAGTGGAGGGAGTGGTGCTCAGGAAGGGGGGTGGCTGAGAGACACTGAAATATAAGCATCCCTTGTCCTTAGGGATGCGGAGAAAGCCGGGAACCCTGTGATGGCTGTAAGTCTTTGATGCTACCTAAATCCCTCTGCCTGCTGTGTGTGGAATCTATTTCCTCTCAGTCAGGCTCCATGGAATCAGAAGGTGAGCAGTAAAGTGCAAAGATTTGGAGACCTTCTGAGCTGGTCCAGTATCAGGTTCACTTCACATCCCTTTATGCCTAAGCTATGGCCCCATCTTCTGTCTTATCAGCCCTGGTGGTAGGGGGCTGTTCTGCTCTCATAGGATTGGGTGGCTCAAATGTCTAATGAATGGAAGGAGTCAGAGAGAGCACCGCATATTACAGATGAGGAAAGGAGGCCTTGGACCTGGATCTTGTTCACTGGACACACTCCCGGAACTCCTTCATCTCTCCAGCCCCTGCCCACAGCACTCCAATGGTTTGTCAATACCACTGGAGTGAGCCCTCCTCAGGCCATCTCAAAGAGGTCCGGGGGGCCTGTGGGGCAAGGGCTCTGCCTGTCCCGGTTTCTGTGTCCCAGGACTTGATACCTATATACCGAGAGGCACAGTGACTATTCATTAACTGCATGTTCTGAGTGACTGGGAGAAAGCTATTGCCCTCTCCCTTTTTCAGATGAGAACACTGAAGTATCTTATCTGAGGACCTTGGAGCAGACCAATCTTTGAGGCCCGAAGGGTCAAGGCTATCGTCAGGCCTCTGGCCTACTTGTCTTCCAGCCATGGCTTTGTGCCCCAACCCTGCCCTCCAACAGAGCCCTCCAGAGACTTGGCCCAGCCCCAGCTCTTGTATTCCACCCACACGTACCCCAAAGCCCCTCCTAGCAGAGGTCCCATGGCCTGTCACCTCCCTCACCCACGCAATCCTACTTCAGACTCCCCATCCCTGTCCCACACACCCACTTCACATTCATCCCATCTCCTCCACATTGTTTATTCGTTCATCAGCTCATGGACATCTGGGTTATTCTCATGTTTTGGCTATTATGAATAATGCTGCTATGAATATTCATGTACAATTTTTTATATGAACATATGTTTTCAGTTCTCTTCGGTATATACTTAGAGTGGAATTTTTTTTTCTTTTCTTTTCTTTTTTTGAGGAACTGTCAAACTATTTTCCAAAGTGGCTGCATCATTTTACATTCCCACCAGCAATTTCTCCATATCACCAACACTTATTATTTCCCAACTCATTATTATTATTAGAGGGAGCTCTGGTAGCATAGTGCCTAAGGCACTTGACTGCTAACCAGAAGGCTGGCGGTTCAAACCCACCAGCCACTCATCAGAAGTAAGGTTGGGCAATCTTCTTCCATAGTGATACTGCCTCAGAAACCCAAGGAGAGGTCACTATGAGTCGGGGCCATCTCAACAGCACATAACAACAACATTATTATAGGGACATCCTAGTGGAGGTGAGTGGAGTCCCTGGGTGGCTCAAACAGGAAAACACTTGACTACTAACAGCAAGATTAATGAGTCAAAGCTCCCCAGAGATGCCTCAGAAGAAAAGTCTGGAAACCTACTTCTGAGAGATCACAGTCTTGGAAACACTGTTGTCGTTGTGTGCCGTCAAGTCGGCCCCGACTCACAGCGACCCCTCCTTGGGTTGCCAAGGCAGTATCACTGCAGAAGTAGATTGCCCAACCTTCCTTCCGAGGAGTGGCTAGTGGGTTTGAACCGCCAGCCTTCTGGTTAGCAGTCAAGTGCCTTAAGCACTTTGCAACACTATGAAGGACAATTCTAATCTCCACACATGAAGTCACCATGAGCTGGGCCTGACTTGATGGCAACTGGCTTGGTTTGGAATGGGAGTAACGAGCTATCTCATTTTGACTTTGATTTGCATTCCTCTAATGACTGATGACACTCCTCCGACGACTGATGACACTCCTCGGACGACTGATGACACAATGGCTGCAACAATGGGCTCAAACATAGCAATGAATGTGAGGATGGGCATTGTTTCATTCTGTTGTACACAAGGTCACTATGAGTCAGAAGTGACTCAATGGCACCTAACAACAACGATGATAATGGTGTCGCACATGTTTTCATGGCCATTTGTATTTCTTCTTTGGAGAAATGTCTATCCAAATTCTTTACACACCATTTTTTAATTGGGTTATTTGTCTTTTTATGGTTGACTGACAAGAGTTCTTTATATATACAGGATATCAGGCCCTTTTCAGATAAATGCAAATATTTTCTCCCATTCTGTAGGTTGTATTTTCACTTTCTTGATAGTGTCTTTTGAAACACAAAGTTGTTTTTAATTTTAAAAAATCCAATCTATTTATTTATTTATTTTGGTTGCTTATACTTTAGGTGTCATATACAAGAAACCAATGCCTAATTCAAGGTCATGAAGATTTACCCGTTTTCTTCAAAGAATTTCATAATTACAGCGTTTACCTTTAGGTCTTAGATCCATTTTGAGTTATTTTTGTACATGGTATGAGATAGAGATCCATCTTCATTATTTTGCATCTGTATATCCAGTTGTCCAGCACCATATGTTGAAAAGACTGTCCTCCCCTTTCGCTCCCGCCATTGAATTGTCTTGGCACCCTTATCAAAAGTCAATTCACCATAAACATATGTGTTTATTTCTGGACTCTCAATTCTATTTCATTCATCTGCATGTCTATCCTTATGCCAGAACAACACAGGCTGTACATTATCTGTACATTACTGTAGCTCTGTAGGAAGTTTTTCAATCCTCCAACTTTGTTCTTTTTCAAGATTGTTCTGGCTTTTCTGGGGCCTTTGCATTCCCATATGAATTTTAGGATCAGCTTGTCAATTTCCACAAGAAAGGCAGCTGGAATTTTAATAGGGATTGGGTTAAATCTGTAGACTGATTTGGAGCATTCTGCCATCTTAACAATATTGTCTTCCAATCCATGAACATTTATTTAGGTTTTCTTTTATTTCTTTCAAGAGTATTTTGTAGTGTTCAGTGTACAAGTCTTGAAGTTCTTAAGTTAAATATATTCCTAAATATGTTAAATAAGGTATTATGCTTGGCTAAGTGGAGGGGCAGCAAAAAAGGAGAAGACCTTCAATGAGATGGATTGACACAGTGGCTACAATGATGGGCTCAAACATGGCAATGATTGTGAGGATAGTGCAGGACCGGGCAGTGTTTTGTTCTGTTGTACATAGGATCACTTGAGTCAGAGTCAACTTGACAGCACCTAACAACAACAACAAATATATCACTCTTTTTGATGTCCTACACACTTTTCTGGCCTCACCACTACTTACTCTCCCCTCATGCCCGCCCCCCAGTGCCCAATCATGTTAACACAACTCCTTGTGATTCTTAATCCTCTCACACACTATAGGCTGATGGGTGGCCAAGAGGGCATAGAGACACACACATGTTTGCGTGCACACACACACACACACACCATCTCCTGCCAACAGGTTCCAGGGCTTGTCCAGAGCCACCCCCAGGAACTCCAAGGATGACATCACCCTCTTCTCCATGTCTCAACACCTTTCCCAGCTCCCATGACTTTCTGAAGCAGCCAAAACAAGGAGATGGCGCATGTGAGCACTGCCATTGGGAAGGTCGCAGGCTGAGAAGTAAATAATGAACCCAGAGAGACCCAGGGACAAAGCCAGACCAGGATGCAGGTGGATATGCACTTTTAAATGATGACAACAATAATAATGGCTCCTCTTCATTAAGCACTTGCTAAGAGCAAGGCTTCAAGTTAAACAATTTATAGATGTTTTCTCATTTGGTCTTTACATTAACTCTCTGGGGTAAGTATCGTCTTTGTTTTAGAGATTGAAAATGGAGCCTAAGAGAGGCCTAGCAATGTGTGCAGTGGCACACAGCTAGCAAGTGATAAAGCTGGAATTCTAATCTAGACCTGCTGAGGGCAAAGCCCATACCCTTTCCACCCCATTTCACGACGAGCTCATGCTCTAGGTGGGCGTTTGTTACCACTCTTCCAAAAAAGTCTCAAGAGTTGCCTACAGCTTACAGTCAACCCAAGTTGAGGCCTCCTCGTGACTTGGCCCCTGCCTGCCTTTCCATAATCATCCCCACCCATACCCACTGCACCTTAGATTTCAGTCTTGCCATGTTCCAAACTTACTCCTCTGAACTTAGCATCTGCTGTTCACTCAAGCTGAAACACCTACCCCATTTTACAGATGAGAAAATGGAGGATTGAGAATGTTAAGTAACTAGCCCAAGGTCATGCAGCTAGGAAGCAAATGAGCCTGGTTAGAACCCAGGTCATTAGAGCATCAAGTCATCAAGCCTTAATTTGTGTTACAGACAATTAGGAGGTGGAAATTAGCAGGATGTGCTCCTAATGGTACAGAAGAAGGTAGAGGAGAAAAATCAGACAGGTCCTGTAGTAGAGGAGGGCCAGGCTGGGTCTTGAGGATGAGCAAGCATGAGAGGGGAGCACATTTTGGACAGGAGGCCAGTCTGAGAAAAGTACAGAGGGATGAGAAAATGGGAGAGAGAGGGGCTCATCAAAACTAAGGAGTTAATGTGAGATGATGGAAAGAGCTATGGCATCAGGAGACCGAGCTAAGTCAAGAGAGACACTTGCTGTGTGACCTTGGGCAAGCCCTTTCCTCTCTGGGAGATTCCTTATATGTAAATGAGTGATAGATGAACCTACATGGTTTCTGGGTCTCACCTTGCCCTTACATCCTAGGATTCTAATTATGTGAATTGTCACTGGGCTTTGAAATGCAGACTCTGACTCCAGACCCACTGGTATGACCAGGCTAGGGCACTAAGCACAGATGGAGGTTAGCATCCAACACAGTGCCTCACAAGGAACATGTGGGGGCAGCTCCAGTTACATGCCAGGCATTGTCCACACATCCTTCCTCTCCGTGGATCCATGCTTTACACATGTAGACTCACTACAGTGGGGCAAGTCCTGTGGCAGCTGGAACAAAGAAGTGAACAAGTCAGAGTAGAACTGTGGATTCTTGGGGAAAGTATATGCCACTAGCTAAAATTCTAGACCCAGCTCATCCTCAGGGAACGGGGAAGGGAATTAAGTCCTTGGGAAAGTGGCAGAAAAAACTTCCTGGAAGTAAATGTGGAGGTTATCAGGATTAGAATAAGTGGTCTGCCAAATTGGAGGACTTTTGGGAAATAATAAGGTTCCCAATCAAGATAGAACTGGGCCCAAAATAGAAAACACATTCCAGACCAACAACAAAGGGGACAGTTCCCCTCCAGATGCCTGTGGTAAAACAACATAGACACTGCTGGAGATCTTCTGAGCTGGAAGGGGCAGAAAGTGCACACTTTCTAGAGACTGTGGACACACACCCATGTACACATGCACAGATACACATATGCACACACGTAGACTCCTGAGTCATGCTGCTCATCCCCCACCTCCAGATTGAGCCTGAAGTTGCTCTCCATCTTCAGGGTGCACACCTTCACCTGCCAACATCAAGCAGCCCTGGAATTCGGAAGGTCTCACTGGCTCATCTTGCTCCCTCTTGCTGCACTTGGGATGTGCTTGCTTCCTTTCTGACTCAAGAGGAACCAGACAGAAACAGGCCCACCCACCTCTGCTTGGCTGACTTCCATCCTCTGGAATGTGCAATTGGCTCTTATCTTTCCTGCCTGTTTGACCTCCAGCTCTTGCCCTCAAGAACACTGCCTTATTCACCACTGCATGCTAGATAAAGGGCTGAGTGAGCACTTGGGAGTGAACTTTCAGCCCATATGAACCCCAGTGGCCCATCCTGCTGGAACTTCGAGGTTTATTCCAGAGTGAGAGCCTCAGAGGTGAATATACCTAGCTGTGAAACCGTGGGATGAGCTTCCATGTTCTTCAAGGTCAAGAGATTACACAAGACCTGCCTGCAAAGCACTTAGCATGGAGCAGGACACAGAATATCTTATTGTTAATTGGGAAGAAAATAAAAACTCCTCTCCCACTGAGTCAATTCCAACTCATAGCAACCCCCATTGGGTTTCTGAGGCAATAATTCTTTAAGGAAGTAGATTGCCCACTCTTGCTTCTGCAGAGTGGCTGGTGGGTTTGAACCACTAACCTTCTGATTAGTTGTTCTTAATTTTAACACCCCTTCTCTTATGCCACCAAGCTTCCTGAGTGGCCCAAATGGTTAGCACTCAGCTACTGTTGTAAAGGTTGAAGGTTCGAACCCATGTAGCAGCAGTGTGAAAGAAAGGCCTGGAGATCTGCTTCTGTTACAGCCAAGAAAACCCTATGGTTTGCTACTCTGCTAAAACCCTATGGTTTTTACAGTTCTACTCTGTAACACATTGTGGTGTAGTAAATTACATAGTGTGGCTTTTCTAGTCATAAGTCTTCATAAACTCCATCATGGAATTTGCCACGAGCAACTGAGTACCTCCTGATTGTTAAAGTTATCCACCTGGGGTATTTCTGTTGAGAGTTGCAGAAAGCAATCTTCTAGGAAGTTCTCTCTCTTTCTCAGGTGTGTAGAATATTGATGTTGGGATTGATGAGTTTGGCCACTCTGCCAGGCTCAAAAGGAACCTTCCTAGAGGAAGAAGGAGTCTCTCTGACTGCTGGCTGAGAAAGACGTGTTGCTGAGAAAAACATGCTCCTGAGAGACATGCAGTGCTGACAGAGAGAGACACAGTGCTGAAATAGAGAGACACACTGCTGAGAGAGAGAGACATGAGAAATACACGCTGTTGAAAGAGAGACTGCTGGCTCCTAAGTGAGACAGGCGGCTGCAAGAGACTGAGTGCATTTCTGAATTTGAATTGTAGCTTGTAACTTCCCTAATAAACCCCATCATCTATGATTTCTGTGTGGCCCTGCAGCAAATTATCAAACCCAGTGGAAAGGTGGTGGGTGCTGCGGGAGGAACAGTTGGTGTCAGGGTTGGTGAAAGGGCTGGAGGGAGGCAGCATGTCTGGCCTCACAACAATAGGCCTTGGGCTACTGATGGTGATTCTGTCTTCCTCTTGTGGGTTATGGGAGGTCAGAAGATGTGGCCTCCCTGCCCCTTTGGCACACACAGAGTCACTATAAGTTGAAATTGACTCAAAAACGGGTTTTCTCTTATCCCACTACCTTATCTTTTGAGTAGGAAGTCCTTCTTGAAGTCTAATCTCAAGCCTTCATGTCTTGACATGAGCCAATTTTCCACCTTTGGTGGAGTCTGGGGACAGAGATGGAGGAAGCTGTGCAGGCTGCTTGAAAGAGCCTCCTCCCTGGAAGGGGATAGAGCCAGGAGGGAGATTACGGAGGCGCCAGGCCCTGGGCTCCACGATGCACCTGCTGCAGCTTTGGAGAGATGGGGGGCCTGCCAACTTACCCCACCCCATGATCTCATGACTGCATTTGCCAGGCACTGGCTCAGGAAGCAGGTGCTGACAGGGCCTAGGCACGGAGCCTAAGACAAGAAGGTGGGAAGCCTGCTAAGGGCCAACAACATAGCTGTCCCCACAGGGCTCTGATGTAAGGTCCCTCTGGCCTCCACGTATGGCCTTTGGTTAGTGCCCCCACTCATCTCTGCTCCTCCTCCAGGGTCCTTCACACTGCCTTACGGATACTCCCACTCCCCAAAGAAAACAGATGAGGAAAGGAGAGCTCCCTCTGTATTCAGGCCTCAGTCTCTCCCTTTGCATCTCTTTCAGCTTCTCCCTGCCTCCAATTGCTATCCCTGAACAGAGTGCTGTTGTTCTGAAACCTGAAGGGTGTGCTGGGCAGGAGGAGGGTGGCCACATGCTGTCATTCCTGAGGCTGCTGTGTGCGGGTATCTAAATGCCAGTTATAAAGCAATGACGAATCCCCAATAGATGCCTCGGTCCCAGTTTCAGGGACCCTAGAGGTGAGTACTGGTAGCATAGTGGCTAAGACACTTGCCTGCTAACCAGACGGCTGGCGGTTCAAACCCACCAGCCACTCCTCGGAAGGAAGGTTGGGCAATCCTACTTCCGTAGTGATACTGCCTCGGAAACCCAAGGAGGGGTCGCTATGAGTCGGGGCCGACTCGACGGCAAACAACAACAACAACAACAACAGAGGTGAGTACAGGGCAGCAGTCAGCCTAATCCTCCTGTGTCTTGCTTCCTGAACCCCACCTTCCCCAGTCAGCTCCTGGTTTTTGCTGTTGTTGTTAGATGCAGTCGAGTCATCTCCGACTCATAGCAACTTTATGCACAGCAGAACGAAACAATGCCCGGTCCCATGCCAGCTCCGCAATCCCTGATATACTTGAGCCCATCGTGGCAGCTACTGTGTCAATCCATCTTATTGAGGGCCTTCCCCTCCTTTGTCAAACCTCCACCTTACCAAGCATGACATCCTTCTCCAGGGAATGGTCCCTTCTGACAACATGACCAAAGTAGGTGAGACGAAGTCCGGTCATTCTCACTTCTAAGGAGTTCCTGCACCACCTCCCAAATGATCCCCTCCACCCACCACAAAATCCACCACTGGGATCTAAAAACCCCTCCACCAAGCCCTGCCTAGACAGGCTGCAGCTCCCGAAACTCAACACAGAGAGACGGATAGCCCTCTGCCCTCAGGCTCCCAGGGAGTCACCAGCATTGCAGTCAAAGCTCCTGCTGGACCTCAAGGGCTATGTTTGCCTCTTGATTCTAAAGTGAAGCCCTCAACTTGGACCTAGAACTTTGCCCTCAGGGTGCTCTTTCTGCCCCACCTCACTCCTGTCTCAGGCCTCTGACTCCAGCTCAGCCAGACAACCATGCTTCCTGCCTCCCAACATGCACCTCTCTCCCCTGCTGGGAGCCCCCACTCTGGCCTACCCTGTCCAGCTTCTCAGCCTTACCACATGACCTACCTCCTCCCAGAGGTAGCTACCCTGGATCTGTCCTCTCTCCCTCACCAGTCACTGCCCCCAGTGCCAGTGTCCAAGGTGTGTTTGCTGCTTCCACCTCCTCCCTTGGATGTGCCAGGCTCCCCCACCTCCAGGAAACTCCTCAAAAACCAGGGCAGTGTCTCATCATCAAATCTTGAGTCCACACTCCTTCCTCTTCTCTCCCCAGACATCAGACAGAGAAGACACCTGGATAAGTCACTGGTCAAAATGGGGCCAAAAGTTCCTGGAGAAGAAGATCTGATTCAAGGCCATACAACATTTCAACGTCATTTACAAGTGACACCAAATGGGTTGGGATGGTGTGTGGCTGGACAATCTCTGCAGATTCCTAGAGTACCAGATCACTGAACTGGGTGTCTGGGATGGGGCTCCTAGGGCCTGGCTGGTTCTAGAATTATGTTGCAGGGGATGCCAGGGATCTGTTGCTTCCTCTACCTGCCCCCACCCCCAAGGGAAGCCTTGTCCCTCCCCAGACTGTTCCACACCCCCTCCTCCTGGAAGCCTTCATTGGCCAGCCACCCAACTCTTTGCACTGGCTTACTCCGCGTCCCATCACTGCTTAGAAACTTTCTTCACCCTGTAGTCATTTGCCCTTGTTTTTGTGTTGCTTTGCAAATGTTCTCTCAAAGCTACAACTTCCATGGTTAACACTAGCTTTGAAAGTCCCCAATGTTAATTAAGTCTATTTTGCTGGAGGATTAGTCCCTGCCTTTAAGGAGTGCCAAGGAAGACTCTGGAATCACATCACTCTTGCTGTGATTCTTTTCTACGATAATCAAGCAGTCTCACTGATGAAACCATAATCTTCTCAAGTTCAAGTTCTTCCTTTGATTGTTAAGGAGGCCCCAGATAAGGTTGTATCAGGCAGAAATCTCTGGGGAGTAACTAGAAGAAGTCAGCTTCTCCCCAAGAGGAAGCTTCTCCCTTGGGAATTCTGCAAACCCTTCCAAGACCAGATTCCCTCCTCCTAGCCTCTGGAGCCAGCCCACGTGCTAAAGCTGTATTCCCACCACACAGGTCGTTTCCTAGTTATACTAGTTGTGTAGACTTACCTAACTGCCCTGAACCTTGATTTCCCTATCTGTACAATAAAGACAATAGTAAGAACATATAGTAAGAACACTTTAAGAGGGTGGTAAGGATTGGAGTTGATAGTGTAAATCCATCCGTCCTGTGCTTGGCAGTATTGGTAGCTCAAATTACTATGGTGCCGTGGTTTCAAACAATAACTACAGCCTCCAGCCCACCACTGGCGCTTAGTAAGACCCATGCTGGAGCCCCTGAGTAGAATGAACAGTTAACACACTCTGCTGCAAAACAAAAGGTTGGAGGTTCAAGTCCATCCAAAGGTGACTCCAAAGAAAGGTCTAGTATTTTACTTCTAAAACATCAGCCATTGTAAACCTTATTGAGGGGAAGTTTTTGTTTGTGGAACATTGAGCTTATACTAATGGTGGTGGAATATTTTGGAAAAAGGAAAGCATTAATGGTGGCACAACATGAAAAATTTCATCAATGTCCCTGAGCTATAAATATGCAAGTTGTAATGTTGGTGAATGTCTTGTTGTATATGTTTTCACCATAATTTAAAAAAAAAAAAAAAAAAAAACCTATGGAGAACGCCTCTACTCTGACAACATGGGATTGCTATGAGTTGGAGTCAAATCTATAGCAACTGGTTTAAAGCCTATGCTGAGGGTGCAGCTGGTGTGGGGAAGAAAAAAGCACTGTGCCTGGGGTTCAGGACTGGAATTTCTTCAGGGCCTATCACTGGTCAACTTTTGTGGGAAGCCTTTTCTGTGCCTTCACTCCACTCACAGGGCTGGCTGGCAAAGTGTCCAGGGTTGTAGGAGAAGGAGCAGAGTTCAGGCACAGCTTGGAACAGCATTGGAGCTTGTCCAGGCCCAGGTTCTGGAGGTTAGGCAGGCCTGGGAGGCCTTTCCTTCCACCCCTTCATGTCCACCAATACCCACTCATCCTATCAGCAGCCCCTGGATGGCAAAGGACATGAATGACAAGTGTAGACTCTATCCAGGCAAATGGCAAGGGAGAGGGGACTGCTGAAGGTTGTGATGACAAGAAAGGATGAGGTTCCAGCTAGGCCTGACTTGTCCCATTTGGGGACCCACTCACTCAGGACAGCATCCATGGGTGCTTAATGCAGGCTTCATGGGTGAGAAGGGACGGAGCAAAGCAAACCAGAGAGTACCACATCCTTGCTCCTGCTCCTGCTCCTGCCCAGGGGCAGTGGTTCAGGTTGTCTCCAGCCTATTACCTCAACCCACAGTAAGAAATATCTCCTACTCAGAGACCAACAGACACATCAAGTCATAAAACAATACTCTGCACCACACTGGGATGGTTTTCTATTCTCAAGACCCTCTAATGAGCCACAACCAACAGCCTGTATGCAATATAGACAAGCCACAGTCTAAACTAGCAAAGGAGTGGGCTCTCCCACCAGGACCTCAATGAATGAGAAGCCAAGACACCTGAGGCATTCCTTCCTCCCTTCATTTACTCATTCATGGGTGGGTGAGACAAGTGCTGAGGATGTGAAATCCATGAGAAGGATGGTATGCATGGCCCCACTCAGCAGTAGGCACTTAACACACATTATCACTAATCCTAACAACATCCCAGTGCACCCAGAGCTGTCCTTCCTACTTTATTGGTGAGACAATGAAGGCTTTTAAAAGATTTATTGTGTGCATACTATGTGCCCAGCAACGTTCTAAGTGCTCTATACACTGAACTGACCTAATCCCCATAAGGACCCAATGAGCAGGCCCTAATGTCATCACATTTTGCAGAAAAAGACCTTGCAAATTGCTTGCTTAAGGTCACACAGTTAGTTCCAAGAGTTCATTCACTGACTTGGAAAACTTTACATGTGTCCGACTGAACCAGGCAGAGTACTAGGCTGATGTGCATATCTCGGCAAGTTCACAGTAGGAGGAAGCAGACGCTTCTAAATGAGAAGCATCAGTGGGATGGAACGGGTCAGAGCTATGAAAGCATGAACCAATGGCTGTGAGTTCACAGAACGGCGATTAGCAACCCCTCCTCAACTCCTCCTCCAGAGTCCAGAAGCCTATTTTAACTTAATGTCAATCATAAAAGAAATATTGGCAGGGGCCTTGAATGAGGCTTCTGGGTCTGCAGCGTAGCATGCCCCTAACCCTGGGAAGTCCTCAGAAGGTTGCTCTCCAGACCCCCTCACTCCCAGAGGTGGCCCCAGACCAGAACCTCTTGAGCATAGAGAGGCCTGCTCAGAGGAGTCATCTTCATTCGGAGAGGCAAAGAGGGCTTGAAGGTTTCAGGGTGGGAAGGCAGACAGGGTTATGGGGGCTGATACTGGTCTGGCTGCTGGGGGTCATAGGGACCTTGTAGGGAGGGGCATCAGGGAGCAGCCTCAGGCCTGAGGCTCAGGCAGCAGCTGCTCAGCCCTGCCAGAGCACAGGGCAGGGCCCGGGCTTCCTGCTCAGGAATGCCACCAGCCCACTGAAAATCCCAGCCCACACTGGGATCCGAGGGCTGCAGGGAGGGGTGGGATTTGCCTTTCCCCCACCCCCACTGGCACCCCAGCGGGAAATGTGTTGAGCTCAACAACATCTCTGAGCCACGGGGCTGAGTGCTCCTGTGGCTTCTAAATGATGGGGCAGGAGCCAGGTCATTAGGCAGGGAGACTGTCATTAGTGCAGGTGATGCCACCACCAAACAGACAATGGCAAACAGTCATTAGTGGCTGTGTCACAGGGGTGAGGCATTGTTGGCTGGCTGGGGGTAAGGGAATGAGCAGGGTACAGAGAGCCACTACTTTCTCAGCCAGGCCGGCAGTGCACACACATTCATTCACTCACAAGTTCACACCCACAGGACAGTGAATAGCCACACATTCAGTCACCCTTACATACAGGGAAATAGGTAAACACACTTGCATGCTCATACATTCACACAGAGAGGTGTGAGTAGACACATGCACTTGTGGCGTATGTAGACATGTTTACATGTTCACACTCACACAGGGACACAAGTAGACACATTCACATAGTCACACATTACAAGTGAACACACAGGACTGTCAAAAGGTCTAAGCAGTCCCCAGATTATGAACATCCAATTTACTAACTTATAACCCATAATTACAAACCATCTCCCATAAAGCCCATTATAGTAAAAATTCAAGGTACATACAGTGGTTCGTAACCTGGCTTTGAACCAGTCCAAATGGTGATTGCCATACTAACAAGGGCTGAGTACACACTGCATAGCAACCAAATCTATTGCCCAGGGTATTTCGATCCCAGCAGGAAACAAACAGCTGTGGCCACTCAAAATGGTTGCCGACTCCACTGCTTTGAATGTGAGTTACTCTCCAGAGTCCTGCCAATAACCTCTCAAAAGGTCCTGCCACACATTGAGGAAGAGAAAGACATAGAGAGGTACATGAGAGATACAGACAACAAAGATGAACCTTTTGCACATACAGTACTGTGTTGTCAGTGAAGGCAAACATGGGTATATGGGTGGATAGATGGGTGGACAGGCTGAACTATTAGGTATGTCTATGAAGGAGGGAGTGTACCCAAGAATATATATAGGATTGGCAGACAATGGTTCTACAAGTGTATTTGTATGATCTGTAAGAATTCCCAGGTGTATAGTAGAGCTGATAAGGGACAAGGTTGTAGTCACTTCTTGGTCACAACCAACTACCCAGAGGGAGTGAGTAGTTGAACCTGTGGGCTCAGGACCATAGTCACAGGGAACATCAAGCTCAAATGGCATAACATACTCCACAAAACATTGTTCCACCTCCTACTTTGGCAAGTAGCGACTGGGATCTTAAAAGCTTGCAAGCTGCCATCTAGATGCAACGATGGGTCTCCCCTCATCCAGAGCAAAGAAGAATGAAGAAAAACAAAGATTCGTGGAAACAATTAGTCCTAGCAACTGGTACACCATGTGATCTGCAGCCTATATGACTATGAGATAAGAAAAACTACATGGTGCCTGGCTACCACTGTCAACCACTCGGAGGGGGATCTATGTAGGAGATCCTGGATAGAGACAGAGAACAATGTGGAACAAAACTCAAAATCATTTGGGAAACAAAAAAGGGCAGGGAGAACAGGTCTGCTGGTCTGGTAAGAGCCTGGTGGAACTCCTGAGACTATGGCCCCTAGCTGCCCTTCAGGTCTGGAATTGAACCCACACCTGAGTTCAACTGATGTGGGTTCCAGCCAAACAAAAGACAGGTGTATGAGTTGAACATTTACCTGAGGTAGATACACTCCTTGGAGAGATCAATCATGGGACAAAGAAGGGCTGTTTATGGGCAGGGAGAGAGCTCAGGGGGCAGGAGGGCATGGAGTGAAGGACACAGGAAAGAAGTAACTATCGGGAGGAAGTGGGAGGAGAGCTGTTGCATTGGGGTAAATTGTAGTCAATGTCATGAGACAAAGCCTATGTGAACTGTTGTGTGGAAAGTGAATTTGCCCTGTAAATTTTCACCCAAACCACAATAAAAAGAAAGAAAGAAAAGAAATGATTTTGCTGTCTGTGTGCAAATCAGTGTCAATGAAATAAAAAATAAAACTATATACTAGGAAAAAAAAAAAAAAAAAAAGTCCTGCCACAGTCCTTCCTCCTGAAAGTTTCAGAAGCCTGAGGAGGA